AGCTGGGGGGGAGCCCAGGGCAGGGGTCCTGCGAGTCGGGAGTGAGGGGCACGGGCAGAGCTGGGGGGGGAGCCCAGGGCTGGGCTAGCAGTGGCTGCGGGTCGGGAGTGAGGGGCACCGAGACGTGCTGTTCCCTTCACAGTGGCTGAATGAGGAGAAGATCGTGCAGAGACTGATCGAGATGATTCACCCTTCGAAAGACGACAATGTGAGCGGCTCTGTACGGCCTGCGCCTTGGGGGGCGGAACATGGGGGGGGACAGCTATGGGAGGGGAGCTCCCAGCCCCCCTGCTCTAACCACTAGACCCCACTCCCCTCCCACAGCCAGGGAGAGATCCCAGGAGTCCTGGCTCCCAGCCCCCCTGCTCTAACCACTAGACCCCCCTCCCCTCCCAGAGCCAGGGAGAGATCCCAGGAGTCCTGGCTCCCAGCCCCCCTGCTCTAACCACTAGACCCCCCTCCCCTCCCAGAGCCAGGAGAGAACCCAGGAGTCCTGGCTCCCAGCCCCCTCTTCTCTAACCACTAGACCCCACTCCCCTCCCAGAGCCAGGAGAGAACCCAGGAGTCCTGGCTCCCAGCCTCCCCCGCTCTAACCACTAGACCCCACTTCCCTCCCAGAGCCGGGGAGAGAACCCAGGAGTCCTGGCTCCCGCTGCCACCAGCCCTTACTGGCGATGGGGGTCCGTTCCTCTAAGCCAGCAGCTCCGATGGGGCGTGGGCAGAGGGACTGGCCCCGCCTCTCACTACTTGGCCCCGCCTTTCCCATCGCCCCGGTAACTGGGTCTCTTCCCCCCCCACCCCAGCAACATTCCAATGCTGCCCAGTCCCTGTGTGACATCATCCGACTGAGCCGGGAGCAGATGATGCAGATTCAGGACAGCCCCGAACCTGACCAGCTGCTGGCCACGCTGGAGAAGTGAGTGTGGGGCTGCGGGTCGGGAGTGAGGGGCACCGGCAGACCTGGGGGAGGGGGGAGCCCCGGGCCCCCTTGGATGGGGGGTGGCGTCCCGGCCCTCCCAGTATCAACCCAAGTTAACGATGGCGAAGCAGAAGCACGAAGCTCCCAGACCATGAGCCAAGGACCCTCACCCAGTGCTGAGACGTGGCCCCTCTGGGGCGGGGGGCAGGGCTGGGTCCCCAGGGGATGGGGTGTTTGGGGACCCCCCAGCCAGGCGTCGCGGACCTGGGGATCCCCTCGGCCGGCCCCCCCCGCCGGGGGGGGGGGGGGGGGGTTTGGGGACCCCCCAGCCAGGCGTCGGGGACCCGGGGATCCCCTCGGCCGGCCCCCCTGACTGGGGTGGGGGCGGGGTGTTTGGGCCCCCCAGACAGGCATCGGGGACCCGGGGATCCCCTCGGCCGGCCCCCCTGACTGGGGTGGGGGCGGGGTGTTTGGGCCCCCCCGCAGGCAGGAGACGGTGGAGCAGTTGCTGGGGAACATGCTGGCGGGCGAGCGGGACGAGTCCGTCATCGTCAGCGGGATCCAGGTGCTGCTGACGCTGCTGGAGCCGCGCCGAGCCAGGTGAGGGGGCGGAGCTGGCGGGAGGGGGCGGGGCTAGCCGGCCGCCCCGCCCGCGCTCACCCCTCGCTCTGCCCCCTGCAGGTCCGAGGTCGGGGGGATGGGCAGCTTTTACTGCCCCCTGGAAGGGCAGCTGGAGCTGGGGCCTCTGGGCTCGGACGGCAGCGCCTGCCAGGCCAGCCCCAGCACCTTGCTGGCCCTCAGAGGTTACCTCCGGGACTTCCACCAGCTGCTGATCGACCCCCCGAAGGTAATGGGCCCCCGGACTCCCGTCCCTGGCTCTGGGAGGGGAGTGGGGGCTAGTGGTTAGAGCGGGGGGGGCTGGGAGCCAGGACTCCTGGGTTCTGTCCCTGGCTCTGGG